ATTTTGTTTCTTCGTCCACATCATCAAAAAGTGCCAATACTGCTATTTCGTCAGTAAAATACCATAACTTCTGGCTAAATTTCTGTAAAGCAGCTTTAAAGATACTTTCATTCACTTTTTCGTAAGCTTTCAAAGATTTCAAAAAGCTCAAATCTTTGTAGGGTGCTTTAACTGCCAAAATGCATTGAAGCCATGGTTCAACGTAGATTGTCACGATAAACAAGCAGACGTCTAACAGTGCTTCCTTATCCTTGGTGTTTAATTTCAGCTGAGAATTAAATAACGATAGTTTTAAGGAGTAAATCGCTCGGGCCATCCATCTAGCTTGGTGCATGGCAACCGGAGGTCTGATTTAAAATTTTTTTTTGCAACTCCTCCTAAAAATACGATAGAAAGTTCGATCAACTCTCGATAGTCATCTCTGACCATAACATTTTTAAGTTCAGCGCGGTAAAAGTTAAGCAAATTTTTAAGTTCGGGTACAGTTCGGAACAATTCCACTGTTTGTCTATAGCACTGTATTTTAGTGGGATCGATATTTTTCCAATTATCTTTGAGCTTTTTAAAGAGTGGAATATCGGCGCTTGTTGTCACTTTTTTAATTTTCACTTCGAATACGGCCTTTAATACCAGTTCGCATACACGATGACGGAAGAGAAAAAAAGCCTTTCCCTATCAAATTTTTGCTTGAGGAGTGCACAAGCACCATTAAAACGACCTGTATTTGAAGCCGTACTATCACAACAGAGAGAATTTGGACTTTGTCTTCGAGATTTCAATCTAAGATCGCCTTCCAAACAGCCTGTGCCTGTTCTTTGCTTGTAGAATTATCCAGTCTCGGCATACCAATGAGTTATTTTTAAGTCCATAATGAATTAACTATAGGCAAGCGTTCTTCTTTCGATTTTCGAGCACTCAAAGCAAGCAAAAGTTTGAGATCCCAATGTAAGGTCACTACATCTGGTATCTCGTTTTGGAAATCAATTTTTATGTTTTCCGCGCGTTCCTTCCATTTTTATGTTCGGATTCTTTGAATTGAAGACTTGCTTATCGGAAATTCGTCAATGTTAAATCCAAGTGCATCAATAGTAGCTTCAAGAATAAACACAGAATCTCGCATACTTAACTGACACCTGTCTAATTGTCTAATGCAGCAACTAACTTTGGAGTAATAAAATCTTTCCTCATTACTGATTTACTTGCCCCAGGTTCTGAGCTTTCGATCGGTGTTGGGAAATCTTCTGAATCTATATTTTCACTAGAAGTCGAAGAGGAATCTTCTTGCAATGTTTCGTATGATGCCGAGAATTTTGAAGCGGAAACATATTTGATTCGCCGATTTTCTTCTTTGACAACTCCAAGTCGAGCCCTTTCCTATTTGTCGGTCGGTTTTTGATTCACTCCACCTAAATGACCAGATCGGCCCGCCTCTCTTTGGCGCTGTAAGGACATCCTATCTTCCTCTATTTTCATTAACTGAAGTGCATCAGCTTGTGCAATATCGAACAAATTGTCTAAATTACTTACAAATTCTTGTTATCGCCGCCTGAATACGTCTTGCAATTTCTTTTCATTTTCTGTAAGTCTCTCCAAGCTTGATATACGTTAACAAGTTACCTCATACAATCTGGCAACGATTTGGTAGGCATGCGTGCCTTTTGCCAAAACATAATACATTCGCGAATAGCGAGATTTGCTCTTTCATTAACAGTTAAATTCCCTTCTCGAATATTGCAAAACAAAACTGCGAGAGCTTGTCCATTAGAGGGAAGTTTTGAACCCGTTATTTGATGTTCTATTTCCCTTATTAAAAATATCTCTTTTTTAGAACTATGGAATTCCACTGCCATGTTCTGTTCACTGATTAAAAATTATACAAGCATTTATTAACAAAACAACTTGGAATTATAAGCACATTGACACGTGGATGTGCGCTCTGAGTAAACTGGTACTGACACGTTTCAAGGGCTGCGCATTGCCACTGTCGAAGCTTTCCAAAACCTTTTTTTATGTTTAGTTTTGTCTTTACCATTTGCAGCTGCTGTGTGCTCCGCAACAGACACATGTCAGGTTGACATGTCAGCGTTCGCTCGTTTCAGTACACAAGTACTGACTGACACGTTTAGATGCAAGTCGGCACGGGTTGCCGTGGTTCAAATTACATGAAACTTTATTTACAATTATTTTGACATGAAAGGAAAAAAATAAGAGGATATGCGGAGGAAAAAAAACGACTTTCATTTTTTTGGGACACCCTAATGCATAGTAATCAGTAAATAAAGGGAAAATATTTACAAATTTGTCAAAACTGATACTATAGCATTACATTTAGGATCAATGCTTTTTGAATATAATATATAAAAATTAAAAACTTATAGATAAGCGACATGACATTTTTTACATAGAAGCGGTAAATCGTAATACAAATGAATCTGAACATAAATAAAATGATAAATAAATAAAAAAAAGTATAATAATTCACACAAACGAGCATCATAAACATGATCATAAAAATTTACATAAAAGTGAATATACTTGCATTAAAAATTGATTTGCATTTTATGCACAAATACAATATTGTATAAAGGTAAAACATTCCAATATCTTACTACTTCCAAAATAATATAATTCCACAGCAGGTAATTTAGAAAAAACGATTACCTTGAGATAGCATATGACAGATAAATGTATAAAGCTGAAAGATAAATTAAAATAAAACATGTTGTTAAGATAAAGCTAAAAGATGTTAAACACCTACACTAGATAAGGCATAGAATATATTTCTTGTCCAGCATTTTAATTATACAATTAATGGCTTATTACAATTATAAAAATAATTGGTGTTCGTTCATTTTTAGTGTTTAACCGGCTTTTCTCAATCAAACTTCATTATTTTTTCAACTACGTTAAAGATAGTCATTTGGCTGAAATGATTAAGTTGCAGTTTTCTTTCTTGAACATTGACATTTATGCAATGTTTCTACCAATTGAATTGTCAATAAGACAATGCAGTATTGAAAGCGGTTACTGAAAATTTTGTTATTGCTCTATTGACAAAAGCATTAAAGTCTTATGGATAAAAAAGGGAAACATCACAAACGACAAAACATTTCATTGTTACCACATATTTTTTATTTCTCGTACGCGAAGCGTATAAAGAAAAATAAATACAATTGGCAAGAAATTCGAACTTGCGATTTTGTTGTATCTCCACATTTTAGACTTCCATGAGTTTCCCCCAAAACAGCATTTTTGTAGGTACAGTTATCTCTTTGTCGGTGAAAATGTTGACTCGAAAACGGAACTGACTAGAAGAATGAAATTTGGTTTAGGAAATTTGTTTCATTAAAGTTATAGACTTGTATCAAAGTTTGTACGAAATCCGTCGACGGAAAATTTACCAACCTGTCCGTCTGTGTGCACGTGAATACGATAATTAGAGAGCGCAATGAGCTGTATGATTGAAATTTGTCACACGGTTTTGTCACTAGAATCGTAGATCTGAATTACATTTTAGAGTAAATCTTAAGTGGATTGACTGTCTTATTCTGTTTAATCTCTTGTATTAGAGCGCAATTAACCTAAACGCTGCTAGCTACATTAATGAAATTTAACATGTTGTCTTGACTCCAAAATTGTAGATTTTTATCAAATTTTGGATACAGTCGGACAAAGGAAAGGGATCCAATATGCATATTCGATTTTCTATTACGAAACTGAAGAAAAAATAAACCATATTCGGCATGTTTATGAGAAAGTATAAGAGAAAAAGACAGTCGAAATGTTAAACTCTATAATTAAAAGCATTTAAAGTACTGAAGATGATTAACAAGATAAAAAACTACGTATAGCGACAATGGCATATATTTTTAGTAATCAATTTCTTTAATTTCTCGCAACGTTACTGCAAAAAGGATAAAAAATTAATTAAATCTAGAGCGCTCAGCGTAACAATTTCAAACATAATCTGTATTCTAGCTTGCTTCGGTGTTTTTGAAAGTTGAAAACTATTTAAAGAAATTCTCCCGTTTTATTCGGAAACTCATTTTTATGAGTAAGCCACCTTCATTACGGTAAAATTAATTTCTCGTAATTACTTAAAAATGATTTATCAGGGATAAAATCGCAGATAATTAATTATTTAAAAATATTCACCATAAAATAAACTGTAAAATGTGTAAGAGAGTGTGAAAAAGATCCCATCTAGTTCCAAATATATTTTCTAAAAAGATTTTAAAAATAGAGAGTTTGGAAAATTGTTAAATTGTCTAAATTGCTTTTAATGAATAAAGTTTATTTCCATCGCATTTTTTTTAAAGAAGAAAATATTTTTCATAACTATTCAAACTAGCAACATCAGACCGCTGTTAATTTTTACTATCTATTATGAATAATCTTCTACTGATCTGATTATATTACAATACAATTACGCATGTGATCTCTTTTTTTGTTCAGTTAAAAATTACTCTGAGGGATTAAAAAAATCGCTTCATCAAATCGAATAACGGAAATGATATAAGAAGATTATTGGGACTTTTTTGTTAATCGTAAAATGCAGATGACGTTAACCGATTAAGAAGATAGCTTGAGAATCAGAAAGCGCGTAGATAAATTTTTATAAACGCCACATGAATTAAGATACAGACGTAAAAGTTGTGGGTTTCCTGTCATAACATTTTTAAGTAACAACAGCTGTAAGAAAAGCATCCCCAGCGAAGACCCCACAGATCAGTGGTTAAAGCACTGGTCTTGTAAACCAGGGGTCGTGAGTGCAATCCTCACTGGTGGTTAAATATTCTCCATCGATTAAATCTTTCTCTCTTTGAATAATATTCCAAACAAATATTCACTTACTTACAAGCTATCATAAGTCAGTGGTCTTGTAAACTAGGGGTCGAGATTTCAATCCTTAATGGTGGCTAAATTTTCTCCGTTGGTTAATTTTTTTTTCTCTTTCATAATATTCGAAAGAAATATTAACTTTCTTAACTTTTTGGCAAACCACTACAGCTCAGTGGTTAGAGCACTGTTCTTGCAAACCTGGGGTCGTGAGTTCAATTCTCACTGGTGGCTAAATATTTTCTTCCGATAAATTTTTCTGTCACTCTTTGCTTAATATTCGAAAGAAATATTCACTTTTTTTGCTTCATGACTAGCCACAGTATTTCAGTGGTTAAAGCACTGGTTTTGTAATCGAGGGGTCTTGATTTCAAACCTAACTGGTGGCTAAATATTCTCCGGCGAGTATTTACTCTTTCTCTCTTTGCATAATACTTGAATGAATATTCAATTTGGGTAATAGCTACGTTCAGTTACGTATTGCTTACATTTTTTTTTTGTGATGAAACTGAAACCGACTATCTTAAATGTCACCCGCAGTTAAATATTTTGTTGTTCATTTGTCAATGTATTTGTTTTCTTAAAAACTTCTTGTATAAGAATAAATGAAAATAAATGATAAAATATTTGGTTTTAATAGTTGGGGCAGGGCCTCAGTTCTCGTACCTATCCCCAAGTTTAATCCAGCCCCTGATAACAAGCCATAAATTTTCTCGTTCCTTAATTTAGTGCTACATGTCTAAAATAGATTATAGAAGGATTTTAATAAAGATTATTTATTCAATCGATTTCTATTTGAGAAGCTTCAGAATCTGATAAAACCATCTATTTTATTGAGTTTTGCTTTTGTCGCCATAAAAAAATACTGATATTATAACTCTTACCACTTTCAGGCAAACACTCGCTATTTATATAATAGATGTGAAAAATAGTCGAATAACAAAACATTCTACATAGGGCTGCAAATATTTATACATAGAATCATCATTCGAGCAGAATATAAAAAATATTTCTGTATATTATTACATTAATATTAAGATACATAGATAATAAAAATTGTTAGCACTTAGTCGTTCAGCCAGTTATTTTTACAATCTTCATTCAGTATTGATTACCTTTAAAACAATTAGAGCCGGATTGGGCTATGTTGAGAAAGAAAGTTTTGTGACAGTGAAATATCACAGAAAATATATACAAGAAAATTTAAAGCGCTCTTGAGAGTTAGATTTGCCTATTTATTTTTGATAACATTATCAGAAGTGATGCTTTATTTTGATAGATGCATTTTATTTTTAAGTGTTGAAATCAATTTTGGCATTTAAACTCCATTATATTTGCAACAGTTTGAAAGTTGCATTTTATTTTTATTTTCTGCCTTCTGTGTTTTCTACAGTCGACACATTTACTCAAACCTAGCGGTGTTAAAATTCAGCTACTGAATGTTTGTTTAAAGACCATCTAATTGAAAGAATGAGCTAGAATAGAACGCCATAATTATTATATCGGTTTGAATACTATAAAACTTTATAACTAGATATGTTTAAAGCGTTGAAGAGGAAGAGAAAGGAAAACGATGAAGGAGGACATAATTTTCAATGATAGGCGAGTTAATTAAATTCTCATGCCGATAAATAAAGTAAACTTAGTAAAGAAAAATAATTAATTAAAACCAACAGCTTATGGAACTATTTCAAACATAAAGTTTACAATAAATTTAAAGAAATTCTCTTAAGAATTCTTAATGTTAAGATAAAGGAAAAAATCTAGATAAATTATCCATGTTTCTCTCTTACAATTTTTTGTCCTAAAACTTTGCTAATAGGCAAGTCATCTTTATACGGCAACTAATAACTCTTTATTACTTTAAAAATAA